TTGTAAGGATAGTCACTGGTTTATTGTAAGGATAGTCACTGGTTTATGGTATATGTGTTTACCATCAGGTCTCCAGTGGCAGCCAAGTGCCTCAGAACAAATATGCAGAGCTGCTGGCCATCATCGAAGAGCTGGGGAAGGAGATCAGGCCCACGTATGCTGGAAGTAAGAGTGCAATGGAGAGACTGAAAAGAGGTAAATACAACTAAGTACATTTACTCAAGTACTGTACTTAAGTTAAGCACAAGTACATCTAGTTTCAACTTAAGTATTTCCATTTTATTCAACTTTATACTTCTACTCCAATACATCTCAGAGGTACATATTGTACTTTTTACTGTACTACATCTCAGAGGTACATATTGTACTTTTTACTCCTCTACATTTGTCTGACAGCTTTAGTTTTTACTGAAGTAAACGATCTGAACACACACTGCATATGCAGATGAATTTGTGTAAAGTTTGTGACTCTAAACAGTACTTGTGTCTCTTCGCAGGAATAATCCATGCCAGAGGGTTGGTGCGTGAGTGCTTGGCTGAGACGGAGAGAAACGCGAGGTCTTAGCTACGAACACCAACATTCCTCCCTGCAAGAAAAAACTAACAGTGTGCGTCTCATGAAAAAAAAAACAAATAAACAACTTGCATGGCAGTTCCTTTGAGAAGAGGAAGTAAAAGAACAAAGGATGGAAAAAGCAAGCTCCTAGAGAGAGAGAGAGAGAGAAAAAGAAACGATAACACAATTCATGACTCCTGAGGTTTCTGCAGGATTCATTTAAATCATGTTTTGGGTTCCTGGAGTTCATCTGAAAGGGTATCATGTGTTTTTATGCCCCACTTTTGGGATCTTAGTTTTGACTTCATATTTAAAACATTTGGTTTATGCATGCGAACGGGCCCGGGGGTTAAATTGTAGACAGTGCATGGCTTGTACAGGGGTAGATGGAAACGACTTGTTTTTGATAGTACTTTGGTCTGTTTTTCGGACCCTTATAACACACGTGGCTGAGTGAGGGAGGGGCAGAGATGTTTCAAATGCATCGGTTCATTCGTGTTCAGGGTGGTTTTGGTATAAGAAAAAAGGAAAATGCTGTTACTTGCATCTTTGTATGTATTTATTACTCAATGTAATAAATTGTATTTTCAATACAGTTGTCATCGTTTGATTCAGTGCATTGTAGACATTCGTCATCCAGTTTTTAGTCTATCCAAAGTGTTAGAATAACTCTGCTTCTAAGTGGAAATAAGAACGCTGCAGGGATTGTTCTCTTCTCTCTGCAGACGTGGTTCATGTGATCTGCACTTTGAGACAAATACTGAACTCCAGGCTACTCCAGATGTTCAGCACCTTGCATGGTTGTGTGTGTGTGTGTGTGTGTGTAAATGGCTTTGTAAAGCCCTTTGAATAAAATATGAATTTGATTTCATGTTAAAACTGGCTAGTGAAAAGAAACGGTCAGTGTTGACACAAAACATCAAAACTCTACAAGAATTATGATCTTTACATCATGAAACAAGTTAAAATACTGTATGTGTAAAGAAAAGAAGATGCCACGCTGTGAACCGTAAACGTGTATTAACCGTCAAAGGTGAGACCATTTCAGACATTTCGGCTCTAGTTTGCTGTGTGCATCGTACTTTATGGTTGCAAAATAATTGCAGTTTTGCAATGAATTAAATTTAATAAAGAAAACTAGGACTCTTACTGAATATACACGGTGCAATACTAGTAATATACTTTAATATAGGATGTACATTAGATAATGCTAAAAGCTGTACAGTAATGTGCACAATTGTCATTAAATGTTTAACATAATTAGCTGCACGTTGAATTTACTGTTTGTATAATATATGAATATAAGAATAATTAGTTTATTCAGATGCAGTGGAGGAACAAGTACTCTGATATATTACTCAAGTAAAAGTAGCAGTACTACAGTGTAGAAAATACAAAAGGAAGGTAAAACAATGTAAACTGTCTGCAGGTTTTCTTCTGTCACTTTTTGTCCCAACAGATGTGTACGCCCCTTTCCCACCGTGAACAGCCAATAGAAACACAGAGTGAAAGTATTTTTGATTAGAGCTCGACCAATAGCGACGCGAGGACCGTGAACGTTACAGCAGCACAGAGATCACTGCAGTGCAGCAGCCAACCAGCAACCAGCTAACGGCAGCTACTCGTTTACTCACACAGAAATATGGAGGAAGCGAAGATACAAGACAACGGGTATGTTAACTATGTATTTTATGTGTCTGCGCCATTGTTTACCTTTTCTGTTTATGTGTGTTGTAATTTCCCGCGCGCTGTTTAGCTGTGTTTACAACGCTGTAATAAACACAACTTAGCTCAACTTAGCTAGCTAGCTAACCAATTGCTTGTCAGTTGTAGCTATTTGGCTGTTTAGCTACATGGCTAATTCTAGCTGTCTTGTTTAATGTGTTGATTGTCTGTGGTGGTAAAATGAGCTATTCGCAGTAAAAACATGGCCAGTTCAGACGAGCTGTCACACAGGAAACGCAGGTCTTGACACACAAGGAAGGGTGGTAGATGCTAATGCCAAATGTTGACACATTAGCTTGAATATTGCTGTTTATGTTTTGTTAACTGTTGCATGTTGACTGCAGATATAAGGTTAGAAATATAGCATGGACTGGGAGCTTATTCTGAGCTATAACAGCTGTGCAATAAGCTTATTTTGACAGTTAGTTTAGATTGTATTCAACTTTATTGTCATTGCACATTGAGTTCTGGTTCTGAGACAACAAAATACAGTTTAGAATCTAACCAGGCATGCTAAAAGCAGAGTAAAGTGCATGATATTATACAGAATAAATAGAATGTAGAATAAACTAGGTGTGTACAGTGTTATCGCTGTGTATGAATATGTAAAGTATGAACATAGCAGACAATGCAGGTTTAGTATACAATATAAAGTGCAGAGTGTGATTACAAGTAATGCTTATAGTAGATATGAGGAATAAATATCTGGAGGTATGATGAATATGTTCAATACCCTATAAATCTGATATGTACTGTATAGACAGTAGTATATGAATACTCTATAGGCGAGTAATACAGTAGTAGTATAAATGTGTGTGTGTATGGAGGGTGTAGGAAGTGCGTGTAAGTAAGTGTGTGTGCAGTAGTTGGTCCTCATCACATGTCTTGTTTCCTCCTTCTCTTGGTTCCTAGCTGTCAGACTGACCCCCTCTGCATGGGCCCATAAACATGTCCACAGATGACAGTATCTCTGAGGATGTGTCCAGCTCGGGGGCTCTGAGCCATTGCCATGTCAGTCCTGACGGGGATGGGGGTAAGGAGAGTGAGACCTCCTTGGTGTCCTCCGAGGGGACGTCAGCCTCGGGGCTGGCCGTCTCAGAGGACAGACACGCAGCCTCCCAAACAGCAGGAGGCCCTGTGGAGAGCAGGCCCATGGACATCACACCAGCATGCAACAAGATCAGGTGCAGCAACTGTAAACACGCTGCTGTTTATGGAAAACTGTCATTTCTATGTGCAGAGATAAGATATGAAACCGTGGCCACCAGTAGACTAGAAGGCAATATAAATGTCCTCCCACATATATATTGTGCTAAATTTAATGCTGCAAATATGAATCTATTTCCTGTGAAAGACCATTGTTGTGGTTTTCTGAATTTCCTTGAACTTCACAGAAAATGTATTTGAATTTAAAACTTTTGGAGCTTTAATTTGGTCATTATTTTCATTTGTTTTCATTTGTGGCATCCAGAGTCCTGTGCATCTATGTCCTAGTCTGATATTTAATCCTGGTTGGATGTATCGTGTTGCTATATACATATATCACAATCCTTTGGTTCAGTATGTGAATTAATATTATGTGCTTTTCTTGCAGGTGTCTGAGCACAGATGAAGCATTTGAACAAGGGAAGAGCCTCCCATTCATCAACCCCAGCTCCCTGGAGACCCTTAGAGCTTTGGTGCAGGAGATCCAGAGCAGCGGAGAGACCGACCCGGAGATCTGGAAGGATTGTGAGGTGAGAAAACACCACAGAGCCTGAAAGACAATAGTTACTGGAGGACGTGGAAGTGAGAGTGTAAATACTCGCTGATGACGTGGAAGGTGAAGTTGGGGTTAGCTGCTGTGGCAGTTCTTCTTCTGTGCTGCAGCTGGCAGCCTCAAGTCTGAACTGTCACTTTTATTTTTTGTGTGGATCACACCTGACAGTAAGACACACACACACACACACAGCACCTCGCTGCAGCTGATCTTTTCAGACACAGGAAGTGATTTGCATGGAACAGACAACTGTGATGTGCTGCAACACCAAAGACACTTATCTGCATAGTTCATCAGGCTCACTGCCTTTTAATTTACATATCTGAGCAAAGACACTTCATTAAAAAGTCTTTGGTAGGTTATTGTATGTCCAAATGACTAAATAATTATTGTTGTTTGTGTCACAATCACAGTGGTGCACAGCTGCTTCCCCTCAGAACTACAAATACTCTTCACTCAGAGTGTTTACATGCATTTAAAGGTTGTTTACCTCTCCCAGCGACACAGACAGACACAGAGAGAGACAGAACAGAGAGACAGACAGACAGACATAGAGAGAGAGGTGCTCTTTCTAGAGAGTGAATGAAGAGCGGGACCGTCGTTAGTGAGAACAAAGCGTGAATCGGGAGAATAAAAGGTTATTTTCTGATTTGGTAAAGTAGTAATCAGATGGGGGATTAGATGTTGCCCCGCTGGAGAAAGCTGATTTCTGTTCCATGTATATGTGTAATGAGGAGGATGTAGGCCAGGCACATGGTTCTGTTTCTGCTGCATTGCGTGTCTGCATACATTCACACATGTTGGGCTGCACACAGATGGTCCGTGTGGACACACATGGCGGTGGGCACATGAAGAACTTCCAGTGTAGACAATGCAGCACATTCTATCACTACAACTGTAAAACATCTCCTCCAGACATGTTTACGACACGGAGACACTCTGCTTGGAATAATCATTTTTAACAAGTTAATATACCTGGTTTAAAGGTTGCGTCTCCTCCTCCTCAGAGTAACCTGGTGTCTTGTGTGCGTGTAACTGTGCTGGCTCATTAGGTGAGCTGTATGGGAGCTCATGCTTCAATTTAGGATTAGGTTGTGTTTCCAGTTTGCCTCTGAAGCATGAAGATGAAAAGATAAGTCAAAGGCAGATATGGAATGTCAGTGTACATGGACAGTGATTGAGAGTCACCATGGCTCTGCCCCAGCTGCTGGACTGTAGGTTAATTACACTTACATTTATTTCTGCAACAGGGCCGATGGTTGCATCTGTTTCAGCTGGTTGAGAAGCAATACCAAGGGCAAATACTCGCTCAGCAAGAACAATACCAGTGCCAAATACAGGTAAGACTGCATTCAGTTATGTCTTGTCATGATAAAATATCTGTTTATCTGGTAAAACAACGTTGTTGTTTATTTATTTTTCCAGTTGATTCAGGATGAAATCAAGGCCCTGGTTCAGCTCCAGAACCGCCAGCCACACACAGATTTCTCTCCAACTTCGGTGACCAAAACTCCCCCAAACGCAAAGGACTATATGTTCCCCCTCATCTCCAGTGACTTCAGGCTCCCCAAAAACGTGGCCAGTGACAATGACGGCCTGGCAGCCCCGGCCCTTCTTCTCCCTTTTAGCTCCCCTTATCCTCCTCCGCCCCAGAGACCAGAGACCGCCGACCAGGAGGGGGAGCGGGCGACCACGGTGCTCAGCAGCGGGTACGGGACTCTGTCTGCTTGGGAAACGGGTCTGGAACCTGCTGGGTCTCCGGGGGAGGATGAGGGCGGTTTTCATGGGAGGGAGAAGCACCACTGGTCCCCTGACCTCCAGGAAAACACAGAGACACATGTGATTGGGGGCCAGCAGGATGTTTCACATGTGAGGACTCTGGGAGTGGATGAAACTCACCCGTTAGACTACCAGCAGAGAGCCTCTGGGTAAGGCCGACACACAGACTGACTAGCTCCTTGTGCAGGTCCTGTTTAATTGGTTAATCCATCCACGTAGTTTCTGCTTTATATCCGGCTCAAGGTTCTGTTTGATGAGTTATTAAATCTGCAATAAGTGTTTATTTTTGGGCCACTTTGGGGGAAACAAGTATCATCACCTTTTACGTTGATATGATGAACTTGTTAGCAAAAAGTTACTTATTTACACAACTAGCATACAGAGGAACATTATCAATGATTTGGAGTCTTTGTGTTTGTGTCACGTGATGAATGTAAGTTTAATATTCTCTCTTCTAGCTCTGGTTTGGTCTCCACCACCTCCTGAGTGAAATATGTGTCTCTTTAGCTGCTAAATGTCAGTGAATTCATGGATTTGGTCAATAACTGGAGGCCATATCGACCTACTGCTTTTCTTTGTTATCTTTTCATGCTCATGACCACATGCTGTTTGGTCTTAAAAACGTCTTGAAACGTATTTTTCTATTTGGCGAACTTTGGTGAGAAACGCTGTTAAGAAGAACACTTTGTCTGAGAAATGATATCTCTACTTATTTGTTTTATTATTTCAAACATCTACAGCCAGATGTGCCGACTTCCGAGTCATTTAGAATCACTTTAAACTCATCAGATGAGAGCGGCTCCTGGAGATTCAGGGGATTTTGCAACCGATTCCAAACTGAAGGAGCCGCATACTTAAACCCCATTTATCTAAGGTCAGAAGGGACTTAAGTGACGGTTAGCAGGAAAAAGTCCTGGGTGCAAAGACAATAACCTTCCTCTCTGTCGGCAGCACCAGCCAGCTCTTGACCTCCTGGGCCCAGAGGCAGAAACTCAGGTCCAAGAAGAGCAAAGCAGGACCGGCTTCATCCCAAATCCCTGAGTACGAGGAGCAGCAGCCACTCGGCATCAGAGAATCCCACAAACAAAACCCCCCGGAGAGCTCAGACCTTCCAGACCAGGTACAGCTCACCATGTGGTAACAGATTGCAGAGATGCTTGTTTTTGATGTCAGTGTCTCTGGTGGTCCTGATTACATTCCCGCTCTGCTGAGTCGAATCCACTCTTCTCTATCTGGTTTCAGCAGCGACAGGCCGGGCCGCCGTCCAGCTCGTTCCCCCTGAGGAGGAGTGACAGCCTGATGTCTGAGGCCTCAGGTAACGATTCACTGACTCAGACGAGAACACAGCGTGAGGAAATCACTCTGAGATGGTGATGGAATACACAATACAGGACGTGACATGTTGTTATGTTGCAACTACCACCAGTGACAGTAAGATGGCACTGTTGTATCTCTGAGGGCTTTGTTCTGAGGAACAATAATCATTTCACACACTTTGACAGGTGTCACCTGAAATCATTATGAAGCAGAGCTGAACTGTCACTGACAGCAGGTCACGTCCCATCATTTATTTATTTATTATCTGAAGTGAGTCTGGTAATGTTTTATACGTTTCTTTCTCTCAACACATCCCATGAAAAGACCACAACCAACATGTATGAGATCGTGTCTCAGTGTTTTAAGACTTCCTTACTCTCAGCACATTGGTTCCTCCTGCAATCCTGAATCTTTACATCTTTATTTATTTATTAAATCAATAGAATTAATCCCAAATTTGTAAATCTACTTTTACATTTTTAATATTTCACTTTTACACTTTCTAGTATTGATTTTTTTTTTGTAACTTTGTACCTCTCCTTTGTTTCAAAAACTAAACATGGCTCAGATAAAGAGTCTCCAAGTTCAGGGGTCTTTTAGTCTTGGCTACCGTACTTAATGTTTTATCACAAGATATATTTATAAATACATCTTTTTTTTAAAGTAGATTAAATGCCACTACTTCCTCCACTCTGTCGTAGGCCTCACGTATTGGCGTCTGACTGAGAGTGAACTGTATCACCCTCTACCGGACAGCTTCGACAGCGGCGCCTACCTCCTCCTGCAAGAGGCATCCTTGAGTCTTGTGAGTAACAACTAAAAACACCTGTAAGACACGGTCGCCTACCTGTACCCTGTTTGAGGAACCTCTCGTCCTGAATGTCTCATCTCCGTCTCTGGTAGACTCCGTCTCAGGAGCCTCGTCCGTCTCTCAGAGACATCTATCACAACAAGCAGAGATCTGATTGTAAACGCTCCGACTGGGACGGCTCTGTCACATCCAGTCCTTCGTCTCCACAGGTACGTCACTCTTCTCATTAGTGATCAGTTTATTCCGGGGCTGAGCCTCGAACCCAGTTATTCTCAGAGACAAGGTTAAGACCAGACAGCAACCTCCAGTTCTGCAGAGTGAAGCCAAAGCTTCATGTGTTAAAGCTGCATTCTCTCTAGTGTCCATCAGGGGGCGACTCCTCTGGTTGTATAGAAGTCTATGAGAAAATGACTCTACTTCTCTCTTGATTTATTACCTCAGTAAACATTGTAAACATGAGTTTATGGTCTCAATCTCTAGTTTCAAGTCTTCTTCAATACAGCATGATGTTCATTTAGTAAATTATGGTCCATTCCTGAATTGGGTCACCATAGTTTGTCATTTAATAGAAGTGGGTCCCCCACACGGCTCTAACCCACGTTGTTGCTTTCTCAGGTGTTGACTTTGGACCCAGCAGCGAACCAGCGGCAGTCGGATCGAACCTCCGGCTTCACTTCGCCCTCTCACTTCAGCAGCCCGTCGTTCGCCGCTCAGCCCCCCCACTACCCCAGAGTGGGGACCCCCGTCACCCCCGACAGTCCCAACCCCGGAGACACGGACTGCATCTCCGACACCTCCAGCGCTTCGGCGGCCGGACCTTCCCCTTCTAACGTGCAGAGCTTGTGGGGAAACGCATCCCAGGCCGCCCCGTTTACCCTACATGGTAAGACCCAGCCCGGCTCCCACACATCCAGCCAGCAACGCGGAGCCGGCGACCCTTCAGCCAGCGAGGAGGAGGGTAGTCGCACCCACACCAGCACCCTGAAGCCTCGTCCAGCCTCTGGTGCTTCTCTTCGGCCTGCAGCCAGTCCACACATGGAGAGAGCGTCATCACTGGAGGATCCCGTCGTCCTTTCTCTGTGAGTATAATACGCACAGGTTGCTCTGTTTATTCACACTGCTTGATGTTAAGTATATTAGTATTATTTATTCAGCACTTTTCTTCAACATATTTACAAAGTTCTTTACGATAAAATTACCCGCTGGCGGGATTGAAAAGCATGCTTTCTTTAAACAATCGCCAAAACTACACCGTTGATCACAGCCAGGAGCTGTGAAAACCGTCAGTATCGTCAGACTTTTATCTTTACGACGGTCCTCGAACGAACGCTACCGTCAGTAAAAGCAGCCAAAACAAAGCTTAAAGTTGTGATATTTCAACAAAGACATTTTATTCTACATTAAAATCTCGTCCAAAATAAACCTTTTTCAGTGACCTGATTCTGTAAAACACTTTAAATCTTTGCTCCTACAAACAATTAGAACATTGGTAACACTTGGAAACATGTTGGACAAATAGACTCCTTTTTTGTTCAATAAATGATCAAAGAAATCAAAGCGTTTTTTATGGTTTATGTCACGGTAACTGTGTTATTCTGCACTAAAGACATGTTCTAGTTCTCTCTACTTCTAGTCATGATTGTTCTGTTTCCATAGAGGAGCAGGACTTCATATTGAAGTAAAAATTAAGACCACAGAGAGAAAAATGAGCAAAAAGAAACGCTCCAACACTGCTTGAGGTTCAGAGGGTTAAAACATTTACAACAAATAGAAAATGCCATGAAATACAAAACTCCTTCTCAAGGCAGGATTTAAAGAATATGACTTTGACTGATTGAGGTTCCTCAGACTGAGATCTGATCAGACCCTGAGACCCTGCCAGAGGATCTTAGTAATTTATAGACCGACAGAAGCAGCTTTAGAAAGTTGTTTTTTAATCAGAAGAAGTAGTTTGCATCTTAAGCACTCTGTTGTTTAATCCCACAGAAGTCGTCCACTGTCAACAGTTTCATTCATCTTTCTCCTTTTGTTCTCCTCAGACTGAGGCAGAACCTGAGAGAGAAGCACTCTCGACACGTTGCTGATCTGAAAGCATATTACGAGTCTGAGATACAGATGCTGCGAGACAAACTGAAGCTCAGAGATCTGCCCCGTGGTTTAGAGAAGAGCAACCAGGCCCTCACAGAGAGGTACCTCTTCACTTCTTCATGCATTAGCTGCACATAGAAACTTCTCTTCCTGCTCTACAACTCACTTGTGTACGACATTATTTCTGGACCATATGGGACGGGGGAGATACAAGATGGTGCGTTTGTGATTTGTATTCACTATGTTTGTATCGATATGATAAGCAGGGCTTTTAGAGAAAAGAAGAAGAAAAAGGGCTCCTTACCAACCTTTACTGGAGCTTTCCGTTACATCTCACAGCCTTCCTCAGCTGATAGTTTATCCACTCCGTATGTTTACATATTAATCAGTGCATGAACAGATATAACATACGTTACAGGAACAAAGAAGTCAAGCCATTTAACATGCTGCATTCATGCAGATTCCTGATTTTAATAATGTGAATTTAAAGAGAAAAAAGGGGGAAACTCCCGTTGTTGATAAGTATTGTTGTTGTTGTTTACTCCGCTGTCGCAAAGACAACAGAGTAGTTTTCCACTTCCTCTGCTGTGTATAGTAATATATATATATATATATAGTTAGTATCTGAAGAACAACATTGATTGCCTTTGGTAACTAGAGATAGCTAACCCGGGAAAACAAAAGCACTATTATCCACTTCCTGTTTTGGTTGTTGTACTTCCTTTGTGCCGTAAATTGAGACTTAATTTTGCCAGGAGATCGTAGCCAAGATTACAGGTGTTATATTTCTATAACCATTACGTTGTGAGATCAACATTTACTTCATGAATGATGAGCTAAAATAACTGAGATATTGACTCGTCTTTGAGAATACAAATGATTCATATTCAAAGTTTAGAGACGCCACATTTAGTTTCCTAGCTCTGTGTTCATGTGATGTCTGTTTGTTTACAGGTGCAAACACCTGGAGGAAGCTCTGGCTGAGGCCACCGGTCACATTCAAGAACTCGAGGCAACAAACTGCTTTTTGGAGAAGAAACTGGTATCAGTCCTCAGATTCCTTTTTACTGTATTGGTCACAAGTGTTTTCTTTTATTGCAGCAAACAGCATCTGTTACGTTTATGTCTATGTAGAGATAAACGTATTCTGTTGTTGTTTTAAATGTACTGCTCTTCAGCAAGGACGTCCAGAAATATACAATGACTATATATGAAGAAAACTACAGTTTTTTTCTTGTAAATTTGTGATTTTATTCTCAGAATTTTACAACTTTAATCTCAGAGAAGTTTAGACGCGTTTAAAATATCTTCCTCTTCATCAGAGGTGTTTCTCTCCACTCACTTTTAACATATCAAGCGTATGCATTCGATCGGTATCCATTCCCTAATTCTGAGGTGACTTTCCCTCGTCAGGCGGAGTGGCCGGAGCGCTACGTTGTGGCGGGAGCTGCTGTGAAGTCCTTGCAGCAGCGACTGGAAGACGGCAAGCGCTCGGGCAAAGAGAAGGATGCCCTGGCAGCACGATTGAAGGCCCACGTTCGTCAGCTGGAGGAGGCGCTGCAGAAAACCTGCAGGGAGGCAGACGAGAGGGAGGCGAGGAGGGAGAGAGAGTACAAGATGCTGCAGGATGTGAGACATTAACATTCCCCCAGTCTGGAGTCACCGTGAAATATGTCTTTCTTTATCTAGAGGATTTATTTTGGCGTATAAGAGTTTCTTTCATTAAAGAATGCACCAATCAGACAAGATGGATCAATAGCTGCTCAGACCGAGGACCTGGCCAGACGTGACGTAACATCACCGTTTATTTTCTCAGAGAACATTTTCTGCACTTTTCGTTGATCGTCGGATTTAAACTCTGGACGACATTTACTAATTTATAAAGCCCGATATAGAAGAATGCCTCATACGTCTTATTAACAACAACTAGAGTACAGACACATTCTGGATGATTTTGGTTTCTCACCGACAGTAGATGGAGTTTAGAGAACCAGCACGGGAGCAAAGTAATGTTCTGCTGTGGACGTATTTCAGACTCCTAAAATCAAACTCCATCATCAGTAAAACACTTCAAAACATCCCAAAAATCCCTTTTCAGATACATAACATCGATCCCAATGTTTTAGGTGCAGTGATGAATGTCACGCAGACGTTAAGGTTGGGGGGAAAAAGGAGCACTGGTGTCAGATCGGTGTCATCAACACTGATGTTCTTTATAACGGACGTCTGTTGTTTTATGTCCTCAGCTGCTCGGACAATATGACTCTCTGGTGAAGGAGCACGAGGGAATGAAGGTAAAGGATCTCTAACTGGAACTGATACGTGTGTATATATATATATATATATATATATATATATATACACACACACACACACACACACACACACACACACACACACACAGTATATCTCTCATCATTTTAAACATGTCAGCAGGGACAATCATGTCTTCATTCATCGTTGTGTATCCACAGAACAACCTGGTGTCAACAGAGAACAAGCTCGTCGATGCCACCGATCAGATATCAGAGCTGAAGAGGTGAGAGGATTGATTGTGGATCATCCCATCACTAAATTCTGACGTTTCATAAAACAAATGATCAACTTTAACAATTAAGACAGACATTTGATTTGATGCTAATCTTTATAACTAAGAGAGTAAAACAAAGTGATCACGGTGATGTTTTTAAATAACATTGGACGCAGATTCACTCTTAACACACGACAAGAAACTATGCGTAAATATCTCATAACTGAGATGTGACTTCACAGCTTTTTTTAGTAAAAGAGCTGCAGTGGCGGCTGGGTGACAGCGGGGAGATGGAGAGGATTAATCAATACAGGCCTAATGATGCTCTCTGCTGTCGAAAGAAATAGATAATAGCATTCATCGGCTGGCGCTACGCAGCAACTTTCCTCTGCGGTTTCAGCTCCGCCTGCAAATCGCCACCGATTGCAGCTCCGTGAACTCCGCATTGATGAAGTGCGTCGAGTCGATTCAGCGGAGTCACGGACAGATAACAGACTGCAGCTCGCAGAACGTCAACATGTGTGTCGTAGGAGCGCTTCAGCACGGAAACACATCACCTGGAGGGAGCGCCAGGTTCAGAGACCTGTGAGTGGCCTTTTAATAAAGAGGGAATAGGAGACAAGGAAAGAAGTTACTACAACGTACAAGCAAACTACAAAATTAGGATGTAAGTAAATCCTAAGAACGGATGAAAAAGAGAATTTCTTACATTTAGCCGACTCTAAAAAAGAAAAGACGCATTCATTTAATTGTGACGCGAGGATCCTTCCAGGCATCGTATCAGTCGAGAAGAACAGAACACAGAATCGACGTCGGAGCATCAAAATGGGAAAATACAGAAAGATCTGCAGGAACATTTCCAGCTTCAGGGTCTGATGGAGTCTCACGGTGGAGCGAGAGAAGCTGCAGGAGGTCAGGACAGCGGAGAGAGTTTATAATAGAGTAGAGGAGGTAAAGAGATGAGGGTCAGCTGTGGGTTGTATTACTTCTGTGTTTGGAGAGAAAGTGCTTCACCCGGCGTCGTCTTTTCTGAGCGCTCTGTATTTGGATGTCAATTTTGGTGGACAAAATAATAGCAACACTGTCTCTCCTTCTATCTATGGATCTTAAACGATGTCGAATTAGTCATAAAGTATCTGTAAGTCTTGTGACCATGTATTGTCTCCGTCTGCCCCCCCCACAGAGTAATCTCCAAACTGGAGTCTCAGGTGAAGCAGCTGGAGCACGAGAACCAGGCCAGGGTTCGTTATTCTTCCCACAGTAACACACAACCGTCTGGGGCTGGGTGAGCACCACCATGTTCTGATGATCTGTCTCTCTTACGTATCTACTGTCGGTGCTGTAGGCCGGAGATATTATATATAAAAAAGTGCACCGCTAGTGTCAGATAGCTAGTTAGCTGCTCAGCTGCAGGACATCAGGCTAGAAGTTTGATTACTTTGTCTTTCGTTCTCCTGCCGACAGCTGAGAGGAAAAAGAGCATTTCGGATATTGGACATGGACGTCCAAGTTTAAATTTCCTCTTCCCACGTCCACAGTCTCTTCCACCATCCTGACCTGCTGATGTCACCCAGTAAATGCACAGCGGAGCCAGACGTCACCCGCAGGAAGTCTCCCTCCGAGCAGGTGAGCGGCAGTGGCAGAAGATCCCCGTTCCCTCAAACGAACCAATCGAGTGTTCACAGGAAGTCCCAGTATCCAATCAATGATCAATCGTCAGAACCTGGAAGCTCTGTGGGCTCCTCTTCAGCTGGTGGCAGCTGGAGGTACGTTGTGGATGTAATCAGAATCAGCGTTATTTGGAGTGTTTTATAGTTTGTAAATAAAACAAATAGTGCTAAGAAATAAGAATTTTTAACTGACCTGTTCTGCAGGTGTGCGTCTCCCCCGGAGTGTGAACAAGCTCCGCCTCAGCAGCGCCACCAGGAGCCGAGCCAGCGGGAGGCCGCTCGCAGGGAGAGCTCCTGCTCCCTGACGCCCATGATGAGGGCCCTGATCCAGCTGGAGGAGACCAGAGCCACGGAGAGCCGGGCCCCCTGTAAGAACAGCTCCACCACCCACAGTATGACTCACACTACCAATACATCCACACTGATCGATTTCAAAACTCAAACGTTTAGCTATGTTTAGCGTCCGCACTACTCCATTAGAACTCCACAAGCGGAGACTACGGGGTTGTGTTTTACTCTGGACGGACAGAAACCGAGACCTGCATCACAGACGGTTAGGAAAGAGGACCCAGAGTTTAAGAACACTTCTCTACTCGTAAGCTGTTCACTTTTATTTGCAAAGGTTTTGAGATGTAACTTTTTTTGAGGCAACTGAAACAGAAGATGAAGATGAAGAGAACGTGGCCGGCTGTTCCCTGCAGAAGGGAACAATGGCTGCAATCAGTTTTAAAGTATGCGACTGTGATGTGAAGCGACTGGCATCCAATCAGGACACTGTTCTAGAGGCTCGCAGCGGTTCATCACAGCAAAGCCATGTTTCATAGTTTAAACGAGGAAACAGTTCCCTTTAAAACAGAGACGGTTTTATTGTATTTGGTTAATTATAATAATGCTCATCACACTTTACCAAGTAGTCCGATTGTATCTTATTTTACTTTTTGTTATTTTTACAGTTTACTTATTTATTATATCTTTACTGTTTTATAACTTGTTTATTATTCTCATTTTGTTTTGTTTTACTGACGCCTCTTGTTGACAATCTTATCTTTTCTTATAATAATAAATAGTTATTTAATGTCCTGTTGATTGATTAATGGACTGACTGTAATTAGGCCGATCAGACTGATTACGAACTTCTGTGTGTGATTTTTGTACTCGGTCCTCTTGCTGAAGGTTTTTTGAATTGGACCTCATCACGTCCGTGTGGTTTCTCTCCACAGGGGTCGGCAATCAGAGGACCACCGTCGGGTTTGTGGAGCGGAGACACAAAGAGTTGATTCAGGAGCGAGGAGGGCTTCAGGTGGACTGGGAGGCGGTGAAACCTGGAGGAGTCACAGCCAGAGCTGAGCTCAGAGGAGGAGGGAGAGGAGGAGGAGGAGGAAGAGGAAGAGGAGCAGCAGCGAAAAGAGCTGCAGCTCTGCTGAGAGCTCAGAGGAGCCTGTCTCCAGAGGGCCACAGGTCCTCGTCACTGCCTCCTCCAGAACATCGAAACAAACCCCCAACTACGCCCAGTACGTCCTCCCAGTTAAACGTCTTCCTGAAACATTTCAGAAGTGGGGTTTAGAGTTGTTTTTGATGTTTACAAGCATAAATATTTAATTAATGCTGTGCTATTCGCTCTCTCCTCCAGCAAAGAGAGGAACTTTACTCATGCCCATGTCTGCTAAGTCCAGTCCTAAACGCTGCCCCACTGAGAACTACTCCACTGCTTTTGGTCACCTGATGCCGAGACAGGAACACATGCACAATAGGTGAGCAACACACAGAAGTAACAGACATAAAGAAGAAGAAACCACCGTAACATCTGAACTCTTTACTTTTGTCTATCGCCTATTTTGAATGGCTTTTCTGTGTTTTGAAAACGCTCTACGGTAGTAAAAAGTGTATTAGAGAGACAGAACAGCAGCTTCCTAAACAAGACTTCTATCTACATTACACTGGATGAAGTAACAACAACATCACATTGTGTGCCGTCTGCAGGACTGATGAACAAGTTGACCAGAGACGCCATTCATTCCACAGCAGCAGTCCCAGGAAGAGACTCCAGTTCACGTCAGACAGAGAGGACGGTAATATATTCCAGAGAATATCTAACAGATGTTTGAAGTAACAGAGGTCACAATGTGGAGCATTTAGGCTCTGATCTCCTCTGGTTCAACCATTTGATGCAACAGACCTGCGGAAGTAATACTTAACAACCCAAATGTTAGTTCTGCACTTTCTTATGCTGCATCTGTTTTTATATATAGGATTATAGAACGACAGTAAGGTTTATCCTCTGTTTTGGGGATTGATCTTGATTGATTCATGACCATTTTTTTTCAGGCGGCCAAGTTGTGCTTCTTCTTATTTACAAAATGGCCGCACTGATGTTTTGTGAAATGGAAGCGCTGATAATTGCACGTCAGATCTGAAGCATTGTGTATTCTTTAGGTTATCCTGTGATTTATCCTGAGGAGGCAGAGGAAACTGTCTTCAATTGAATGTCTGGTAAAAGTTCATGTTTCATCGGGTGCACACATGAAGGGAGAGAGAGACACGGCGATGTGTCTTAAACGTTCAGACGAAGCAAACACTACAGCAGTTAACGATAATTAAGCAAATTAAAAACATGCATCATGACATTTTTTGAACAGTTGTGTCGCTGTGTTTTCCTCAGTGGTGAGGGAATGTTTTGTGCCCTTGAAGGTTTATAATTCATGAGAGGAACGTAGAACAGAACCTTAAAAACGTTAACCATGGACCTTATGTCTGACCGAAAACAAATCAAACATTGACTTTGAGACGAGGGAACTGGAAAATGTGAAACTGCTGAGTCATTTCTGGGTTTTAGGACTCATTCCTGCGAACCCCAAATATATACAGTGCCAGGAGTATGAACCGGTGACGGTGCAAATCCAAACTAAACCTCATATCTGTATTATTGAGGTTGTGCTGGAGTGCTTTATATTTACATATTTTGCCTCCTGATGTATGTAAGTGTCTTCTCTTACATCAGACTCTCTTGTCTCCTCTCTCTCTTCAGACCTCCAGCACACCGAGTCGTCCCGCAGCGTGAACCCAGCGGAGGGGAACCCCCAGCTGGGCTGGGACGAGGATCGGGGAGTCTCTGCTGGATCCGACCCGCAGGACTCCCGTGAGGACTCGGGACTCCACTCGCTGGCTGAGGCCGAGAAGCTGTTCGACGAGCTGACGCAGGAGAAGCTGCAGGTGAGTGTTTTTATTTTATTTATATATATATACATTTTTGCCAAAGGTTTATTTTCATAAATAATTTAGTTTAACACCAATACGTGGATAAGATAAGACACGGGATTATAAACATGTTTCCCCTTAAAATAACCTTCTTTGTGTTGAATAACAGTGCATTTAAGTTTATATTAAAACAAGTCAGGACTAGTTTTAGATATTAATAGCTACCTGCAGCGTAGTTCTTCTTCACAATAATTCACCACATTAAATATGGAACAATGAAGATCCGTGTATATGATGGAATAGTGGCATTAAAATGTCACAATCCGGTCTAATAATGTCTCAACCGACCTCATACGTAACACAGACGTCATTGTTTTTATACCAACGCTAAATGACTTCTATTGTTAGGACGTTCATATAGAGTCTCAAAGTGTTTCAGCCGGTCACGTGCCGGCTTGTTGCATCAATATAATTATTTTACTTAATGAATGATTAACCTGCTTGTGTGTGTGTGTGTGTGTGTGTGTGTGTGTGTGTGTGTGTGTGTGTCTGTGTGTGTGTGTGTCAGATTGAGGCTGCTCTGAGCCGGATGCCTGGATCAGGAGGGAGAGTGACTCTTCAGACCAGGTTAGACGAGGTAAGACTCCACATATTGATTATCTTCAAATCGTTTGCTTGTGTTGTAATTGGAGCTGAATGGTTCGTAGATTAATTATTGAAGTAATTGGTTTTCCAGCTTCTCAAATGTGAGGGTTTGCACAGTCGGTCCATCACTTAAAATATCTCAAAAGCTTTTGGATGAATTGACATTAAATATTGTGCAGACATTCATGTTCCCCAGAGGATGAATCCCGATCCTCTGACTTGTCATCTTTAGCGTGCTGACGTTAGCATTCAGCTTTTATTAGAAAACATACCACAGTTGCGCACAGCAGCACCCGTTGTGCTCTTAGCTGCCACTTACATTTCCCGCTCTTCGTTCCTCCTCAGGTGGCCTTAGAGAACCGTCTGGAGAGACTGAATCGTGAGCTGGGATCCATCCGCATGACTCTGAAGAGGTTCCACGTCCTCCGCTCCTCTGCCAACACATAGCGACATCTGTCTCTTTCTACATCACAGCGTAGCCGACGCTACGACATCAGTGACTTGGTTTTAGACGCTGATAACACCGATTGTCTCCGTGTGCCATGAGTACCATATGTACAGTAACTCCTCCACGCCATCTTTTTTATACGTATTACTCTGGGATATTTTTGATATGTCTGAAAGATATTGCAATTTTTTGGAGTATATTTTTTAGTAATGCACAGATTTGTAAAAGTCGTTTACTTTTTTAGTCACAGAAATTATTAATACGATATGTTTTACTTGCCATATTCAGGGTGTAGATTTTTTTTAAATCTGCTATGTGAATGATTTAAAAAGACATTTCATCCACTTGGGAAATATCACTGCCATTGTTGTTCATGTGTTTATGGACATTTATTACATCAAATATTTATTTTATGTTTCTGTACATATTTTTACAAGTTTATTTCTTTTTATTATGTATTTTTTTTTTCTATTTGTAATGGGCCAAATTTATCAAACTTGAAAGAAATGTTTTGTTTAATTGAATCGATCGCCTTTTTCTTTTGTTTACTTTTCATTCCTACCTGTCACTTTCTTTTCTTTGTGTTTCATATACAGGATTACTGGATTAGAACTACTTGTAATATCCAAACCAGCACACCTTTTCAGTCCACACACACACACACACTTTCTCCTCTAGCGATGCTTGTGCATGGAATTTCTTGCACTGCTTCCTTTTGCCATGCATTTTATTTTCTACCTGACATGAACTTCACTGGAACTAAAATGTTATTGTTGCACAATAAATGAAGCTTTTATAAATATATATAATTAGAAGTATTCTTCATCTTATTAATATGACTGACTAGTTTATTATTCCTATAGTGAAACACAGTGCTGTGATTCATTGCACTCAAAGTCAAGTACACGAGTTTCACTGAAGCGGTGCGAAATGACACAGAGGAATCAGCGTGAGAGCTGAAAATGGTGGTATTTTATTTTTCACGGCCTAATGAATCTACTCATTTCACAAACAAAGACTAAGCTAAAAAAGCATGTAGACGGGAGAGATAACAGTAACAAATGTAGTTTCTGGTGAGATGTGAGTTCAGTTCGTGACCGAGCGGCTGAACATGAACACACAGACGGACAGAAACGGTCCGACGGTTAACGTTACTAGCGAACGTCCGCTGCTAGCTAGCGTACAGCTAACGGCTCTAGCTAGCTAGCTTACAGCTAACGGCTCTAGCTTCCAAAAGTAAATTATTATTATTATAATATCTCCAGTTTGCTACTTTAAATATATTTTTGAACTTTTAATAGCAGAACTTTTTACTTTTTTTTTTTTTTTTTTTTTTAAAGTCATTTTTCAGCAGGGATTTCATAATAGATAGACAGACAGTTCGTTTATTAATCCCACAAGGGAACATTGTGCCGTTACAGCAGCAATTTTGGTACACATACATAAAATACAGCTAACGGCTCTAGCTAGCTAGCGGACAGCTAACGGCTCTAGCTAGCTAGCATACAGCTAATGCCTGTAGCCAGCTAGTTTACAGCTAATGCCTGTAGCCAGCTAGTTTACAGCTAACGGCTCTAGCTAGCTAGCATACAGCTAATGCCTGTAGCCAGCTAGTTTACAGCTAATGCCTCTAGCTAGCTAGCGTACAGCTAATGCCTCTAGCTAGCTAGCGTACAGCTAATGCCTCTAGCTAGCTAGTTTACAGCTAATGTCTGTAGCTAGCTAGCTTACAGCTAACGGCTCGAGCTAGCTACAGTTGGTAATTCCCTTCCTGGTCTGAACACACTTTTTAGATGGTTAATTTAAATGAAATATAAGAAATATTTTTAAAAGTTAAAGAAAATAACAAACACTATAATATATTGTGTTGACAGACACTTTAGCACTGATCTGAAAACACTTTACACTGATTGAAAAATAACTCAAATCTTTTAACAAAGATTAAATAAAAGAGATAATGTAATTGTGCATTAATATGTTTTATAATTGGATTATAATTAGTGATGCATGTTGCATCCGGTACAAGCTCATTTTAATTATGTAGCGACTAACTAGCTAGATTAAGAGGTTTATAATCCATAACCATAATTTATTAGTTGATTTAAAATTTGTATTAATAAAGCTGTCAGATAAATGTAAATTGAGTAAAACGATGCATGAAAATGTAGTGGAGTAGATGTATAAAGAAGCAAACTGAAAATATTATAATAATAATAAAATTTTGGTACTTTAAATATATTTTTGTACTATTAATTCAAATTTTAAATTTGTACTTGTGACAGACCATTTCTACATTATGGTAAGTAAGTAAAAGATGTGAGTATTTCTTCCACCACTGACTTAAAGTCATTTTTCAGCAGGGATTTCACAACAAAGAGACAGACGGGTAGGCGGGTAGATAGATAGTTACATTTAAAATCCCGCAAACATTTAACCAAACAAACAGAGTAACATTGTTATAGTTTTGTGATTCACATTTTTTAACGCCTGCAGTTCGGCTGTGCACCGCTGGGCGGCGCTTCTCTCCTTCGTTGTCCTGGATATAGGGATGTGTCCTGTCTTCTGATGTAACTAACCGGTAACCTGGATATATACATACACACAACGGACAGGACGGCCGTGTTGTGTGGATGATGATGGAGGAGGAGCGATAAGATCCGTCCACAAGCAGCGGGACTGTAGAATATAAACACCCATCACCGACGCCACCATCGGGCTCGTCCTCACTACGATCCGGTGTGAGCTGCAGAATATAATGCACCTTTAACTGACAGCGATGTTGCATTCAGCCTTCATGAGGAGATCCAGCTGAAGAACCGGGACTGCAGATCATAAACTCAGAGCTGCAGGTGAGTCGTTGTTGTGTACCTTTATTACACGGTGTCACCACTAATTAACTCATATTTCTCATTAATTTACACGATGCAAATGTTAGTTTATTCCCACCGTTATTATTTGTGGCAGTGGTTGAATGAGCTGCATTGGTCTCGTGGCATCCGTCATTGTTTTATGCACAGCTGATCAATATTATCTATATATCTGATTCTGGTTGTTAGAAGAGAATAATACTATTGTGTTTGTATGCTGTGCAGAGTCTCACATATCACCCTCTGGTAGTGAAATCATAGAATCCTATTTACATTTTCTCCTGTTTTAAAAAACAATCATGTACTGTGATCTCTCTGCATGAAACACACCCAATATACTGCACAAAGCCCAGTATGCATGTGCATTACATGTAATTCAGTAATGCATGGATGGATTACCTCTGTGCACTGTTTATGTACCCTGTGCACCATCAAGTAATAACAGAATGTGCAATAATTCACAACTAGATTTTGACACTGGATTCCTACAGGACCCACAGCACCTGATTTAGTACTTTTATTTATATATATTTCTAAGTAATCAAACCACCAACTAGACCAAACACTGTGCATGCCTTCCATTTGCAATAATGAGCAAGGCAGCAGCTAACGATTAATCTATTGATTTGTTTGTTTTTGATCAATTGTTTATTTAGAAAATAATGAAAAAGTGCCCGTCACAGCATCACAAAACCCCAAATCTGCAGACTGCTTGTTTTGTCTAATCAACGTTACAAAATGTGAATATATTTAATTCAGCTGCAGCAAATATTCACATTTGAGAAGCTGGAAGCAAGAATAAACAAAGAATAATGGCATTGTGGTTTTAATAAATAGTTTCAGATTAATTATCTGGCGATTGACTAATCAATTAATGATTGTTTCAGCTCTAAAAGTGAGATAAAACTATAAAAAGTATAAAACTAAAGTCATTCCCATCAGACTCAGCCATGCGTACATACTAAAGTTAGCATGCTAATGTTAGCTTTAAGCTTGAACGTCGTCTTGTTTTACCACGTTTTGCCGCGTTAAAAAGCAGAATTTGATGTTGAAAGATAAAATAAATGAACTGTAAGTCTTTTTAATATTATAATTTCCTAAAGTAATATTTGTTTCTGGTCCATTTTACAACCTTTACACGATTAATTTATTTGCTTATTGCTCTGTGTGTAAACGTTGACCTGTCCTTGCTTCACATGTCCTGGACGTACCGCTAACATGCAGCCGTCCACAGAGCTATTCTTAGACGCTGAAGGTGAAAACACTGAAGAGGTGCTGCTGCACGTGGGATTCACACCGAGCCTGTAACTTATACTGAGACGGATGCTGCAGTGGAGCCAATACTTTCTAGGAAGAACACTTTAAACCTTGAAAGAGTTTCTCGGCCTGAAGATAATCAGTGTCGGCACCTGGATGTGCTAAAGTAAAGCAAAACAAATCTATTAATCTAAACTGTAGATATCCAACACATGTGTGGGCTATTTTTAAATTTAAATTAATTTAATTTGTTTTTTTAACGCCGCATGTATACAACAAGACTACATTTAAGATAAAAGCCGACATTAGCATGCTAACTTTTGTATAACTTTTGTTTTTGGGGATAAACAAAGTCGTGGTTCAACATCTGGGGATTATGAACGTCTGGATGATGGTGTCTCAACCTTTTCTGCTTTTGTCTTGGTTGCATATCTTTGCATGATCAATATCTTTGGTATTTTAAGGTACGGTAAGTAGTCAGGAAGAATCACCGTGAGTTTTGGGATGTGATGGACATTCGTAGCCAACATGTTCTCATAACTAACGACAGACGGCCATCTTGGCTTTTTAGCAACCAGTGAACAGGAAGTGACCATATTCAGACTGAGGAGGAGTGACTTCTCTGGCAGAGACCTGTCAATCACCGTGTAGCCCCGCCCTAAAGCATCCCCTGCTTTATGGTCTGTTTGACTCTAAATGGACCATAATGTACTAAATGAACATCATGCTGTATTGAAGAAGACTTGAAACTAGAGATTGAGACCATAAACTCATGTTTACAATGTTTACTGAGGTAATAAATCAAGAGAGAAGTAGAGTCATTTTCTCATAGACTTCTATACAACCAGACAGCCTCATGTCAGAGTCATTAGGGTTCTACCTTTGGGCACCATGAATGTCTGTACAACATTTCATGATAATCCAACCAACTGTTGTTGAGATATTTCAGTCGAAGTGGTGGATGACCAACAGAGCCGAGCGGCTATGGCAGGTTATCCAAAGACTCCACCTGCTATTTGAAGTTAAGTGTCTCATATCAGCAGCTTCACTATCACCACAGCCATCAGGTCCTCTGCGTAATGTACTGGTCCTGTTTCAGGCCCGGTGTGCATGATTCTAATGTGCGTGTGTGGTTTGGAGTGAAGGAAGATGGAGCCTCACAGGATCTGATTATCAGGCCAAAATGATTAGGTTTGCTTTAATGAATGCTGTTAGGAAGTGGCCACCGCAGAAAGAATGAGTCATGGTATTGATTGCCGCCCCCTCCTTCAGTTGCTCCTTCTTCCTTACCTCCTCTCTCTCTCTCTTTACCCATCCACTCTTCCTTCTCTTTTCTTTCACCTCACCCCTTTAAAATTCATCTTCTCCCATCTCATGAGACATGTCAGGATTCTTTCTGCAAAGATACGTCAGAAAGGATTTTGATGCATGCAGCCGGGGTGAGCGTTGAATACCAATAACGGCATGACTTGCTCAGCAGTACAGTCTGGATATAAGAGGGGGGAGGAGGAGGAGGAGGAGGGGGAGGGTGGTGGTGGTGGGTAGCTGGAGAGGAGAGGAGGGGGTCTTGTCACGAGATGCCACGTCATCGCAGTGTGTGTGGAATCTATTTTTAGCAGCGTAAACAGAGGGATTCCAGCCCACTGATCATGGCTTCACAGCCAGGCCTGTGTGGTGGGAGGCTGGAGAAGACGCTCTGTGGTGTCGCGCTGGGATGTGAATGAACCGCGCTTGTATTTAGTCCCGACTGTCTGCCTGTCGGGGAGAAACACTGCGCCACAAATAGACCGTCTGTCGCTTTCTCCTCCTCACTCTGCTTCACATGCAGGCACACATGCACTGCGTCTCTCGTAGGGAGCGCTGGAGCATGCGTACCAGTGGTGCAACCATGACCCATGATGGGAATGGTGACTTTATTTGTGAGGCGCACGCACCAGATAAATGATCAAATAATAGGTACAAAGTTATACACACTACATGTTAAGTCTCTGTGTCAAACTTAATGCAAATCTTTGTGCACATATTCCATATACTGTGAACATTTGCACACTCCTTAGTCCATATTTTGCACATTTGATCCTCATCATTTTCATCACTGTACAGCTCTTTTCATTCTTTTAAACATATGTTTTATTGTAAATAGTCTGGGCGATGATTCCATATGATAATTTATCGTCTTTCAATGAAATCAGATCTTGTGATACACATTTATGTCGTCTAAATTGATAATAACAAGCACATACTTACTCAGATTAATCAGAAAACCTCATTATTTGGCACTAAAGCTTTTAATTAAATGATAAATGAATCTGTTATTTTTCTACAATGTTGCCAATTCCTCCAAGAAATAGTCCTTCAAGTCTTAAATGAAACAAATTTTCATTTTTCATAATTCTAGTGCAGCAAATATTTATTGTTTCAAGCTACAGGCACTTCTTTATGTACTTAAAACACCATCAAAGAGGCTAAAAATACTTTGACTTACTTGTATTTTAGTGGCGTTACTATTCTTTACTAAAGTAAAGGCTTTATATTTCTTGCATACAGAACAAGCTGTCGGGGTTTGTCATGGTGCCCGTACTACAGCGTTTTAAATGTGGATCCATACCTCCACGATGTCCCCGGGTGCTCCGGTGTGGTTCTGAGAATCTGAAGCCGTCACGTTTTGGCCACGTTGGCGGTGCTCGAGCACTCACTCTAATTAACAGTCCGTGGGCTTTGTTCAGGTCCAGCGAGGCGTTGTGTCCTCATCAAATATTCAGACGCACACACATGTTGAGTGGTGTGGATGAGGAGGAGCAGCCTGCTTACCTCAGACCTAGAGCGTCACTCCGGTAGTTAAACGTTATCTCTGAGCTTCTGTTTCCCTCACAGATCCTTCGGCTGCAACTGATGATTATTTTCCTTCTCGATTCATCTGCAGCTTATTTTCTAGATTAGTGGATCTAGTCTATTAATGTCAGAAAATAACGTCCATCCTAGTCCCTCAAAGTCCAAGGTGAAGCCTTTAAATGGCTTAATTTTTCAATCCTGTGGTCGTTGAGATGTTTCATAAAGCTAAACTATAAACCAACTGGTGGCATGAGAGTGAAATCCATCCATCCATCCATTTTCCTCCGCTTATCCGGGGTCGGGTCGCGGTGGCAACAGGCCAAGCAGGCCGATCCAAACTTCCCTCTCACCGGCAACATGTTCCAGCTCATTCTGGGGGATCCCGAGGCGTTCCCAGGCCAGCTGGGAGATGTAATCCCTCCAGCGTGTTCTGGGTCTTCACCGGGGTCTCTTCCCAGTTGGACGTGCCTGGAAAACCTCCAGTGGGAGGCGTCCAGGAGGCATCCTAATTAGATGCCCAAACCACCTCAGCTGACTCCTTTCGACGCGAAGGAGTAGCGGCTCGACTCCAAGCTCCCTCCTGATGACCGAGCTCCTTACCCTATCTCTAAGGCTGAGCCCGGCCACCCTACGGAGGAAGCTCATTTCGGCCGCTTGTAGCCGCGACCTTGTCCTTTCGGTCACGACCCAGAGTTCGTGACCATAGGTGAGGGTAGGAACGTAGACCGACCGGTAAATTGAGAGCTTTGCCTTCCGGCTCAGCTCCCTCTTCACCAAGACGGTCCGGTGCAGCGCCTGCTTTACTGCTGCAGCCGCACCGATCCGTCTGTCGATCTCCCGCTCCATCTTACCCTCACTCGTGAACAAGACCCCGAGATACTTGAACTCCTTCGCTTGAGGTAGGCACTCCGTCCCCACCTGGAGGGAGCAATCCACCGGTTTCTGGCAGAGCACCATGGCCTCAGATTTGGAGGTGCTAACTCTCATCCCCGCCGCTTCACACTCGGCTGCAAACCGCCCCAGTGAATGCTGGAGGTCACGATCCGAGGAACAGGACCACATCATCTGCAAACAGCAGAGAGGCGATCCCGAGACCCCCGAACCTGACGTTCTCCCCCCGAGGCTGCGCCTAGATATCCTGTCCATGAAAGTCATGAACAGGACCGGAGACAAAGGGCAGCCCTGGCGGAGGTCTGACTTATTGCCGAGAATGCAGCTCCTACTGCAGTCGTACAGAGACCGGATCGCCCGTTGTAATGGGTCCGGCACCCCATACTCCCGCAGCACCCCCCACAAGAACCCCCGAGGGACCCGGTCGAAAGCCTTCTCCAAGTCCACAAATATTTAGTATTTATCCTCTGAATGAGAGTAAAATTCAGAGGATAAATAAAGTGAGTAGGATTCATCCTCTGGGTACAATGAATGTCAGAGGACTGAGGCACCAGCATGTTCTAAACGCTGTCCTGTAACATCTGTGTGGTGATTCTGTGAGCGAGCGGTTCATCTCCCCTCAACAGAGACTCTGTTATAGTCATGACGTCATGAATGGGAGCAATCCAGCGATGCGTCCGTAGTCTTAACAGATGCTTAATCTCTGGGACAGATGAAAGTGGACCGGGTGTCACTGCAGCCTGAGAGTGTGTCCCGAGTCTCCAGAGCCTCACCGGCTGTATGTTAGCCGGCCTCGGAGGCCTGGAGCCGGGCCAAGCAGTAATGGAATTGGCTCAGAGAGTGGAACTTCCCCCTCCTTTTATTATTACTGGGCCTTCAATCTTCCTCTGCAGTCCCACTGTTTCCTTGTCTGTATCTCATTAACAGCAACCCCCCCCCTCGCTTCTCTCTACCAACACCTGCTGACCCTCTGGTGGAGGCGGGGCTATAAATGGAGAAGACATGACATGTTGGTAAAAGTTAATTGGGAGTTGTTGAGTCGGTAGATGCCGAGGCTGCGTCTCTGATCTCCACATTCTGCTGCTCTCCTCTCATTTGAAGGAACAGTTTGGTATTTTGGGAAATGCTCTTAATTAGTTTATCTTGTCTGTCTGTTAAATGTGACGCTGCAGACAGTCGGCTTTTACTGGCTAGCTGCTCAGGAGGTTCATTCATCTTTCGGGGCACGACTTTGTGTTCAGTACAACAGGGAAATGAACACACCCTGTGATACAGTGAGCAGGTGCTTTACCTGCATATTCGTTATCAGTTGAGGCTCGTCGTAAACAACTGTTGTGACACATTCATTTGGAAATACACACCACTAAAATATCAACTCAAATCAAAACATTACCTTTTGCTTGTCAAAATGCACACGCTACGGTGCAGACAATAAAAGCATTCATTTACTTATCAAGAATCCATAATTCCAGCTATGCGTCTCCCTGCCATCCGTACACTTAATAACCATACTTCATTTGTGTAATCTTGTTAGATCTCTGGGGATTTGGCGTTGGAGAGTAGTCGTTTAAACAATCTCATAAACTAAAGATCATATCTGAATGAAGCACGTTTGTGTCTTGAAGACAGGAGAATGATTGTAGAGTCGACCATCAAGTCTGGAGAGATAAAGTTTATTCTCATGCTGCTGCAACAACACAATGCAACGTATCTTTGTTTCATTACAGTCAATATTACATAAATATTGACCTCGTCTCTGTCTACTAAAGGAAGAAATAGCAACAAGAAGAGAAGTATATTCGTATTCATCTTCAGTGCATCACTTCTCTTCTCACATTAAACCACTGCTCAGCAGAGCACGACTGTTGTAAGTCACAGGATTTAAACATTGAATGCTTTTAACTTCAGATCTATTCAGTGACGTCTGCCTGTGTTCTTTGTATGTTATATATATGTATATATATATATACATATATATATACATATATATACAGTATGTCTGTGTAACGTTGTGAGCAAAACATAAATCACAGATTGATATGTGGAGTTGTTTAGAGAGTTGTTGTTGGTCACTTTAAACCCTGAAAAAGAAAAGTTGGCTCTTTTTAAAAAAAACCTAAAAACAAGAAGCAGGAAACTGTCAAAATAAATCTGTTTCCTCGTCCCTCAAATGTGTGTGTTTTAAGTGCAGTGAGCTCCATAATAGATGCACAGAGTAACCGGAGGCCCAGATGAACGGTGTGAGAGGCGATTAGCCGAGCCCCCCCCCCCTCAGACAGTGATGCATGGCCGCCATTTACCCGAACGCTGGAAAGCAGAGCAATTTGAGAAGCATCACAACTAACCCCTGCTAGCAGCCCCACCACCACCATCACGCTGCTCTCTGCCACCCCCCCGCCCTCCACCTCCACCGCCGCCCTGAGCTATAAATAGCTCGTCCTCTCTCGTCACGTCACAGCCGCCTTCACTCTCATTTGCTGCCTCTTTCTCTGTTGTGATGTTTCTGACATCAGCTGTGGGTTGAACGTGTTTAGCCTCCATTAAGGGAAGAGAGGTTTCTAAGCAAGGTGTAGTTTCTTCCCAATGTGTTGTGCTCTTGTTGTATTCCAGTCCTGTGCATCTCAAACTGGATTGAGGAAGGAAAGTGTTTCGAACAGGACTTCTGGAACATGAGTGTGACATTTCTTTGGCAACACACTCTGTTTTCATAGAGCTGAGTGTAGTTAAGCTCTGAACTCGTGTTACTTTGCGTGCCTCGTTAAGTTGACATCAGCAGGATATCAGTGAGTCTCATCTCGGCTGTTTCTCATTCACAGGAGGAAGGAGTGGAAGGAAACCATCGCTGGAGATGGACTGCAGGTCAGTGAACACATCTCGTATTTATATAAACAGTCAGCTCATCAGTGGTGGAGGAAGCATTCAGATCCTTTACTGACAGAGAAGTTCCAGAGGTTCTAAACCCAGGAGCCGGGCCCCTCGAAAGGGCCACAAGCTAGTCACATTATTCCAGTCTGCTGCTTTTTTGTATAAACTTACCAATACATTTCTTTAATTTAAAATCTTAAACTGAAAGGTAACGAGTAGCTACAGCTGTCAGATACATGTAGTGGAGTACAAGTATAAAATAGCATAAGATGGACACACTCAGCCTCAATACAAGTACCTCATAATTGTATTTAAGTACATAAATGCACTTAAACTTTCCATCGCTGCAGCTGAGATTATTTTTGAACTATGTAACCTCACCACGCTGAAATTAAATCTGTAGAAATCCTCTGAGAATACAAACAGAAGCACACGCCGACATCCCGTCAGTAGCATCACAGGAGCCGACGCACAGTGACCTGTGACCATTAGTCTCTGTTTAATACCAGCAGCATGAGTAACAGGAGGGGCTGGTGTGGAAAGATGTGCTCGACAAGATCACAAATCAACAGCTGTAATAGTAGCAGATGTTCACGTTGTGCAGGGCTTGATTCTGTTAAGGTGTGTTCTGCTGATGCTCAGATAAAGTGTGTGTGTGTGTGTGTGTGTGTGTGTGTGTGTGTGTTGGGAGGAGTACCAATCAGCGAGTCATTTCATTCTGAGGATGAACATCCCTGCAGCCTGCAGATAAAAAGCAGAGGCTGAGGATGCTGCTGCACAGAGCTCGTTCTCCTGCTCGGCCTCACTCCCCGCCTGTCGGTGTGTTCGGTACATTTAATCTCGGTGCAAGTTCACCTTTTGTGATCCGTCGTAGTAAAACTATCTGTCAGGTTCATCCTCTGAGCCTCACACGGACTCTCAGTTCTCTCGCTGGAGAATGTGTTTGAAATGTCCTGAAAAAGACGAAGCAGCAGCGACTCGACCCCCCGCAGAACCCGTCTGGCTGCAGGCGGGATATATTTTTAACCTCAAACCCGCTGAGACTCGTCGGCCGGTTGTAATTAAAGAGACGTTTATAAAGCAGACGCGTGAGTCACAGAATTTATCCGACGCTCGCAGGGCTCACTCGATGCACATCAGGTCTCATCCTAAGAAAACAGCTCCAGATTCACAGGTTCAGAGCGAAGAATCTGGTTGTTCACTTCTGGTCGTCTTGAAGGTTTTTCCGTATTGTTTTGACATTTTGAGGAATGCATGAGTTAGACGAGATGAATACCTCACATCCGTCTGCTAAAGCGACCAACAGAACGTATATATTACGTGCCAAAAAAACCAGGAACAAGGTTGATATTTCGGAGCTTTTGCACCACGAATAAAGGCTTGAGTTGAGACAACAACATGGAGTAAAGTACAATCGTGGTTGTCTTGATGCAAAATCTTAAGCATCACATTTAAGTCATTTAAGTGAAGAAAAGCTGCTGCGGCGTCCACATGTAAATGTGATCGTAGTCACTGAAGAAAAGACTTGTGTTCACGCATCTCAGCGGACTCATTTAAAATACACAGCAGGACAGGTGGGAACGATCACGACACCACGCAGAGAGATGCACAACCAATCAGAGCGCGGATCTGCCTCTGGGGACACCGAAGTGATTCATGTTCATTACTTCACCTCACTTTCAAACAGCATATCTTTACTATTGTCACTTTGAAGACGTTTAATAAACCATTATGCCCGTTAGTAGCAGACTTTAATTGTTTATAAAAAGGTTTAAACAGAAAGAAAGAAATTGTGATAAATCTTTATTTTTGCTTTTTATTGAATATCGGCTAAATAAACTAATAACTTAAGATCTTATCAATCAAAGTAAAACACTTATCATTAAGTAAAAAGAAAACCAAACAGTTCTTCATATAATGTACATACACTCTTTAGGTTTATAGATTAAATTCTATTAAAACAGGTTTATATTAATGGTAAACGTCGCTCTGTGTTTGTGACATCTGCCCATGAAGAGGATGATTCCTACAATAATACACAAGCATGTGATGTCACTCTTACTCTCTTCCTCCTTATTGAAAACTAATTCCTGCATATTTGTCCAAAACTAACTTGATTGAGGAGAAAATCATGAGCGGAGAAGCCGACTCCGGCCTCAGCGTTGGAGAGTGATGAGCACTGAAGAGGCAATCAATCCGACGGGCTGCACCGCCGACTCGCTGCGTCACAGTGACCTGCACCAATCGGGCTTCAGCCTCATGCGTCTCCATGGTAACAGAGCTTCCTCAGTGCTGAGGAGGTGGCGGGGGGGATAAACAGTACAGAGGTGGACGGAAGAAGAAGAAGAAGAAGAAGAAGAAGAGAGAGAATCGATACGTTCCCTTATTTCACAGTGAGGGTTTAAAAAAAGCTCCTTCCCGATCAGAAGAAGGGGGGGAGGGGCGGGGGGGGGGGGGGGGCTGGCGGGGGGGGGGGGGCGAGCCTGGCGGCAGATTGACTGACAGCAGACGGCAGAGGAAGGAGCGGAGTGCAGGGATGGGGTGGAAGGATGCCTGGGCTGCTGGCCTCTGTGGGACCAGGATGTGCGATGGCCCCTAAAGCCTGCGCTCAGTGGATCGGTGGGCCGGCTGAGAGGTAAACCGCTTTCTTTCACCTGCACATTTAATGCACTGCAGCGGCTCTGCTGTTGTGGAAACATAAGTAGAGAGGATGGCAACATGGACGCCTGCCTGTTGGATTGTGGATCACTCGGATCCAGACTAGACGGGGAGGCGAGGAGGTTGAGGATCTGCAGGTGGCTGCAGGTTGAGGTGGGCACTACAGACGGCTTCGTACATTCTCCTGCAAGAAAACAAGACGTACGAATGAGACAAGCGGTGGATTTACTGTGTGGGATTAGTAAGGATCAGAGTGATGACATGTGTTGTAGCAGTGAAGGAACACATGTTTAATGGTCGTGTTGGGTGGTTGTGATGGGCTGCACGTTCACTGAGTTCTCCATCTCTGGGTAGTGCAGGCTGAGGGGAGGAAGCACAATCAATCAGGAGGAACGTCTGAACCTCAGGATCTTTGACTGTAGATATGTTTTAGGATGGTAAGTGCAGTTTAACCACAGCTGCTGCTGATCAGCTTGTCACGTTATTATTATTATAACGCAACCAGAACAGTAGGCTACAGTACTCCACTCTTGGGAATTCACCAAACCTGGAGGAATTGTACTCGGGTGTGTTTGTCAAACTGGGCTCGCCCGAGTGCATGCAACACGTCATCTTATTCCTTCAGCAAGCCGGCGTGTTTCTTCAGATGTGTGGTGTGTTTTAAATCTATATATGTGTGTGTGTGTGTGTGTGTGTTATTCTAAGAGCAGAGATGAATCCTGTCAGGGGACCTTGTTAGCGCAGCACGACTCATGTAGCTCTACGAACCGCTGAAGAATGGAATCAGATGCATTGTGGTGCATCACGCTGTGATGTGTAAGAACGCCGCGATGCATCGGCTTCCCGCTCCTCAGATATGCTCAAGAATGTCATATTACTGAGCGACAGTTACATGTTTCATATACTGTATATATTCACATTCTCCGCTGTGTCCTCGGGTATTGATAACTTATTGGATATACATTCTGACAATATGTTCTGATGAATTTATAGTAGTATGACGAACACACATTGGACAAGGAGTATAGACGGGTTTCCACGTGATCGTTCGATGCTCATGCATCGTTCATGCATCTCACGCTACTCTGTCATGCTTATGTTGCTTTTTTGTCATAGTTGCGTTACTTTTCTTCATGCTAACTTTTTAATCCGTGGTTTTAACCGATGCTGCCTGTTGAGCGCTAACTTTGTGCTCGTTTAGCGTTACAGCTACTAGCTGCCGTTTCTCCATGAAATTCCATCAGTCGTGCTCACTAGCTCGAGTTAAACCGATGTGTGTTTGTGTAGTAAATACGTTTTTGAAAGTGCAACGATACTAAATGTCCTCTAAGAAGTCATTTGACTGTTTCCCAGTAAGTTTCTTAATAATAATCTGCTTCTCCCCTCAACCCTGCGTCTACATTTTTGCATCTTTTAGCTCATTGTTGTTGTTTACAGCCCATAACTTCATGTTTTGGTTCACTCTCACTGCTCTCACGTTGTAGTTTCTGGGAGCAGCGATGAAAACAAATCTCTGATAAATCTTCTTTCTGCACACGATCAAACAGCAGCCAGGTAGAGACTAACAGAGAGAGAATGCTGGAGTTAAATTCATCTACAGACACAAACACGACCCCGTATGAATGCTGCTATCTGCTGAATGCGTAAGTAGGGAACTGTGCATATTAATTTAAAAAGTGACAATAGGTCAGTGTTGAGCTTGTTTCCACTGCCCCCGTGTGGAAAATAAATCTGCTATTGCAGGTTTAAGAGGAAACCTAAACTACTGCTGTCAAATAGTGTAAAATGAGTAATAACAAGTTTTGCATCTCTGCAGAATATGATCTTTTTGGAGCAGTGGTAGCTGCAGAACAAGCTTACAAAGAACAGAGAGGTGCGTAAATATCCAGCTCCAGAGACAAGTTGTCTCAGCTCTCAACATTCAGCCGGAGACATCCACCGTCTGTTTCTCCGGTAAGACACAAGGGGTTGAGTTCCATTTGAACGGGTGGACGGCAGGCTGGGGTGCGGTTCTTTAAGGGGATCGGTTGAGCAGCAAGTCGCCCTCCGGGAACAAGCTGCTGGCAGGCGGTGCCGTGTGTTTAATGGACCGGAGCTGTTGTCATCCGAAATGCTTCGATGTCAAATTTGGTGCAATTTAGCTGAGGGCTTTCTCAGTCCTGCCATCACGAAGCTGGCAGCCAGTCGCCCTCTCAGCGGGGCAGATGAGACGTTCACTTTCTCTCACTGTGATTTTCCACTGTGAGCTCAATTAGGAGGGCCTTTAGATTCAACCAGCGGACTACACGGCTGCATGAAGACAATCTCCCGTTGGATCTCGTTGAAAATGTTTTCACAGCGTCGCGGCAATTTGAGCCGCACGTTTCCTACAGAGGCCAATCTTCCTGTATGATTGGCTGCATGTGTTTTTGCTAATGCCGTCGTACGAGGTGCAAACTTCATCAGTGAAATGGATTAGTGTGGCGAGAGGTACACTGGGAAGGCAGGAAGCCAATTTCCCACATGCTGTGGTTTGCTTGCTTTGTGGGAAATTGGCCATAAGCCCAAGAGAGCTTTGTTTAGGTTTGAAGCATCGCTGGTCATTCCCAGAGCAACGAGAGGGAACGGAGCCATAGTCAGACAGAGCTATTAGAGGAGATGAAAAGCATTACATCACATCTTGATAAAGGTCCTATTGTTGTTCTGGAAACATAATTGAAGAATGTGGTTGTCTGCCAGTATTTTAATGTTCTCCTTGCAGGCTAAGTGCTCAGTTTATTAGACTGAGAACTGAAGGAAAGCTTACTGTGGCTTCTGTTGTTCCTGGGTATCCAACATTAATATATACTGAAACACACACACACACACACACACACACACACTAATGTTACTCTGGAGAACATTAGAAGCTTGTTTTGAAGTCTGTGACCAAGTGGAGAGATTGTGCTGTTCTATAATCAAGGTTCTTCACGGTTTTGTAATAAACTATTGAAAGGCATAAATGTGGCCACGCCTACACTACAGCACAGAACATTTTAGTTTTGGACTCAAAAAATGTGATGTTGGTTGAACAAAACAAGGGATTTTGGGACTTTCTTTAGTATTTTGTATGTATATGTAGCTACATACGTCTGAGACATTATACCTGCCCGAAATAAAACTAAATATACAAACACTCAAACTAAACCTCCCTGAAAGAGTGAAACTAAACTAAAACTAGCAAACACTCTGAAAACGAACTAAAATGAAAACTAAAAGTGAAAACTAAAGTAAAATAAAACCATATAACTTTTATTTGGTGTTGTTTGTCCAATATTCTCTCTTTTAGCTCCGTTTTTGGTCTCCACCACCTCCCGAGGGTAAATATCTGTCTCTTTGTCTGCTCCATGTTCACCAGCTCGTCTCTGAATGATTCCGTCTGCTGTTTGCTGCTCAGCAGGTAGAGAACAGTGGCTTTTTACAGCTTCTTCTCTGAAAACGGAGCCGTGAGAGTGAACCAAAACAGTAACGCTGAGGGCCGTAAAACCCAAAACAGTGAACCGTAAAGGGGCTAAAGTTGGCTCTTTGGCCGGACCTATCCCTGCTATGTGGTATCTAGTGCCTGCAACGAACAATTGTTGTCACTATTGATTCATTTGCCAATTATCTCTCCACTCACAACAGTCCAAGATGTTTTCAGATGTCTTGTTTTGTCCCACCAACAGAACCCAAGCGTCTTTATTTTACAGTGATCTTAAACAGAGCAGCACTACGTCCTCAGAACCTCCTCCTCCTTGTTCTTCAGCTCATGTTGATGTTTTCCAGAGAACGCCGGCTGCTGTATCTGATGTGCTGACTCACAGCTCAACTTAGCTCTCTGGATCTTCATTCGTGGCTCCGTCTATCTGTTTGTGTGTCGGTTCTCGTCTCACATTCTGCTTCGTGGGGATTACTGTGTCTCTATAAATAGCAGCTCTTCTGTCGGTCAAGGACTTGTTCTTCACAGGATCCAGAGAGAAACGCCGCTCCGCTTCCTCGCTGTAATTATATCGGAGCACAGCTCAGTAAATAAGGTCGCACGTTACGGCCTCTGGATCTGAATGTTAATTCGGGGGTGAGACAAAGCGCTGCAGCTTCATTACCTGTAGCTGTTGTTTATTAACTGCATCATGAACTAAAGAGCCTCATGTGATCACGAGGTCTGGAGGATTATTCTTGATTCTTGATGTTGGATTATATCTGGAACCTAAAGCCTTTTACATTAGAACATTTTTAACGATGCTATTGAGAAATTTTACATTTAGAACTCAACTATTCAAGACTTTAAGTCTAAGTGTGACTTCATTTACATATTTATATCAGCATCTTCAACCTCCTTCTTCTTTCTAGTTTTTAAGCTTGTCAGCAATTACATATATTCAGGAGAACTGGTGTATTGTTCTTCACAATTGGTAATTTTATGAACAGTTTCAGCCAGAGACACCTAAACGCCATCTCTCCAAACATCTCAACAAGCGGTGGTCAAGTTTAAATAAGTTACGGTGCTACTGATTCATAGGAATTATAATTCTGTGTTTTAAACCGGACTAATAGAGAAACAAACATACTTTAATCAAATAATGCATGAACCAAAGCAGTACATCACACAACAAACATGGTTTATGAGTGTGATGTTATTTAACAAAATGAAGTTATTTACATCTTTGATATTCTGAATATTGTTTAATAATATTACGATAATAAATAAACCCTCTTGAGTTATTTTTGCAGGTGTTTGGTTAGAACCAAATTAAAATGTTGACCTGAAGGTGGCAGATAAAACGTAAAAGTTCTTACAGTTCATCCTCAGGGGAACATGAATGTGTGAACCAAATTTCTTATCAATCTATTCAATCCACTGCAGCCATCCTCCGAGCCAAGAGCAGCTGAGACCTTAACTTTAGAATAAATATTAAAAAGCTAATGAAGCATGTCGTCGGCCGGAGAACTTTCACTCTCATACTGTACCTCCTGACCCCTACGGTTCATCTGCTGCAGCAGCTTGACCAAACATGCATAACCTAATCATGCACAGATGGCCAGAGGGTGGGACACAACCTGCACACACACACACACACACACACACACACACACACACACACACACTTTCCAGTTGACATGTCAGCTCCTCCTCTTTTCTCTCTCATGTTAACAGCATCAGATTGACTGACGGTTCTTCTCATTACGTCTGAGATTAAGGAGCCGTCGTCATGTGACTCTCCTGACCTCGTCTGTCTGTCTGTCTGTCTGCTTGTGACGGATCACACTTTCACTGTTGGATGGATGTTGGATGAAATGGCAGCTAAAAGAGAGAGAATGCTGGATTCACATTCGTCAGGTGACACAACCACAAAGACTGCTGATGAATATGTATGCTGCTCTGTTAGGTTCAGCAAATTGACCTAAAAGGTGAAAAGTCAGTGTTGTGATCACAGCTTGTTTCTGCTGCCTCCAAACGTGTCTTATAATCTGTAAAATAACTCGTAACTTCATCTGTCAGATCGATGCATCGCAGTAAAACGCACAATATTTCCCTCTGAAATGCAGTGCAGTATAAAGCAACATTGACCGCAAGTTGGCTGAATCTTCAGCGTGTGCAAACACAGTTGGGATTTAGGTTGCTGGGGGATTTCATGGATGGTGCCAGGTCAGTGGATTACCTTGTAATAGATCTGTAGGAGGGCTGGAGGACACACACACACACACACACACACACACACACACACACACACACACACACACACACACACACACACACACACACACACA